TGTCATTGCAGTCTTAAGACTCTGGGGCTCAAGGGATCCTCCCACCTCAGCCTCTCCGCTAGCTGGGATTACAGGCCTGAGCCACCATGCCTGGCATTCGTTTGTTTCGATGGGAAGCCTCAACTTCTGTGTTTTAGCCGCTCACTTTAAAATGCAGCTTGACAAATTGTAACCAGAATTTCATAAGATAACCAAATATTACAATTTGGTAAGGCACCATATATTATGTATTCTTAAAAGAACCAAGACTAGTATACAATGTTGTTGCTTCCATTTTTTATTTAAAAAAAGTTATGTCAAGACATTTTGAAATAAAATGTGCAAGATTAATATTCCTTCAAGCAGGTGGGTTCTTCAATGTTTCTGTTTTGTGCATTGATTATTTTGGAAATAAACTCTATCCATGGAAATAGTACTTGGCTATGTATAAAGTATTACGTGAATGACACATAGAGACTTATTTCCTCAATAATAGATTTATTAGTACTTTAAAAATACAAACTACTTACATCACCTACAATAGATCAGACTAAGACCAGCCTGTAAGTAGTTTTATTATTTAGTTTTAAATTCTGGTTGTATTCAATTTTGACCTAATTTTCTTTTTCTTTTAGGCAAAAGACTGGTTTAAAAGAACTAGAGTTTTTGAAAAAACTTAATGATGCCGATCCTGATGACAAATTTCATTGTCTGCGACTCTTCAGACACTTTTATCACAAACAGCATCTCTGTCTTGTATTTGAGCCTCTCAGGTATGATGTCGAAACCTATGCATTAAACTTGAAAATTTAGCTTCTTTGTCTCTACCAACTTCATTTTGGATAAATGCTATGACAGATTTTCTGGGTATTTGATTTGGTTTTTTTTTTTCATTCATCTCTCATGTTTAACTTTTGGTTAAGAGCTAGCTCCTTGAATGAATTGTGAGTGTACAAACATTAATTGACTGTATACTGTATACCAGGCACTAAGCTCACGTGGCCTACGGGTCAACAGAGAGATTTTCTTAAATACTTCAAGGAAGGATTAGGCCAGAATGAAAAGAAATGGAAGTGGTGGGGTAGAAGTACAATTTTGACCTTCAACAGTATGGTTTCATTGTTGTGCTTTCAAACGTAAACCTATTCTAAAATCAAAATAGGAATTTTACTGTGCATATCTTCGTTTCTACTTACTTTGAAAATTGAATTTTATTGGGAAGTTGTGCTGTGTACACACAATTTGATAAGCTCCATTTCAGTGTAAAGTAATTTATCAAATGTTGGTGCAGATTCTTGAACAGAATATTTTCATTGTTTATCATATTTTGCACTTGATATTAACTTCATGCTGGAAAATGTTTTTGCCTTTTATATTTTCATTTTACATTTTTAACTTTTTTTTTTTTTCTGTCCTAAAGTATGAATTTACGAGAGGTGTTAAAAAAATATGGTAAGGATGTTGGTCTTCATATTAAAGCTGTAAGATCCTATAGTCAACAGCTGTTCCTGGCATTGAAACTCCTTAAAAGATGCAATATCCTACATGCAGATATCAAGCCAGACAATATCCTGGTAAGTCAAAACACCAGGCTACCTTGTACATCATGCCACTTTTTACTAGCAATGTGATTATTACTATGTCATCCCAGAAATAACATCTTAGAAGCATAATTCAGTGTCTTAATAACCAATTTCAAATGGCTTTACCAGTTTTTACCTTTTTTGGAAATTGGGCCATGAAATTTTAGAGAAAATTATGAAGGAGGAGGAAATGGGCCATCTTCCCATTATTTTCTTTTGATTGATGGATTCAGAATATGCACAGACCCAAAGAACACTTTGATGTAGTAATAATGGGTATCCTCAGGTATGTGAAAAAATGCTGCACATGTTTGTTGCTGTTTTGAACTAAGGAGTGTTCACACTTTTTCCCCCTCGAATTTGATAGACTAATGGAATTAGGGACATTAAAAGGTATAGAGTTGAGTTTAAAAGGTACCTACCTAGGAGTAACTCTTGTTTTCTCTTTATTTATTGCTTTAGAAGCTGTGGCTCCTGGGGGCCCAAACACAATAAACTTCAGTTGTGGTTAGGTATTGTATTGAAAGACATCCCTTTTGAAGTCTTAACCTCTCCTAATGAGTTTGGTATAGTAACATGCAGATTTTACAATGTTTATAGTTTTGAAATTTGGAAATACTTATCATAGTGGTGTGATTAATGCGCACACACAGTCCTCCTCTCCTTGGCCCCATTCCTCCACACTGTTCTGTGGTATTCATAGTTTGAGGCATGTTCACAACTTGGAGAATTCCTAGCTCATCTGACAGTAACATGGTTGTTCTCCATTGCGTTTTTTTTAAATGGCTACCTTATATCAACTCTCCTACATTGATGCCTAGGAGAGAGTTTTAGGAAAAGCCAAGCATGTTAGTTGTCCTTTATTGGGAAATATTTGAACTATGACAAAATAAATTCTTTAAAAGATTGTGATCTCATTAAAGTTTAAGGACTCTTTATCAATAGCTAAGGTCTTTAGTTCTGATTTCTCTTTGTTAATAACTTAAAATATTTCCTTCCAGACCACCACATTAATAATGATGCACATTCCATTTTTATGTTTGGTCTCAGTTTATATTCTATATCTAATACAATTGGAGTTAGGAGAGCTGAGTAATTACTTTGAAAAGGCAAGTACATTATAATGAATTGTAGAATTGCCTAGCCAACTTCACAGTTGAGTTTTTTACCTCATTGTTTTCTTTAATTTTAGAATATATTGCCCATATCAAAGAATTTATAAAACATGTAAATTTAAAATGTAATTATACAGCGAACATCTTTATAACCATTGTGGAGGTTAGAGACTAAGACATTTGCCAGTGTCTTAGAAGCTCTTGTTTTTAAAACTTCATTTTTCCTTGAATTAATGCTAAGCCAGTATAGGTTTTCTCATGGATTTCAGAAACTAAATGTTTTCCCTCTTTTCTGAGGAAGAAAAAAAATAAACCTCAGAGACACGTGAGCTGATGTCTGTTAGTGAAAATCCAAAGCCCGTGATTTCAGCCATCAGTGTGGTGGAGGTCCCTCCACATCCCTCATGGAGGGAGTAGCATTTGTGTAGCAAACTAAGCGCATGTGAATGTAGATACCCTGCTAATTATTAAGGCATTTCAGACAGTCTAAGAGTCCCACTGATAGATTCTAATTTTAAAATGGTTCAGATGTTTTCTCTGGGTATTGAAGCTGCTTCGTTAAGTAGCTAAATTCAACTTATACTTTTAAAAAAACTTCAAAAGAACTTTTCCATTTTAAGATATCCATTTTCCTGATTCCCAAAATGCAGAGAATGGTAATCAGTGTGGCAGTTAAAAATAGTCATCTCTGTTATTAGCTTAATGCTGTGGATATCATTTATAATAGTCCCATTTGTAACACTGATCAAGCTTTATGATATCCCCATAGAGAATGCCTCGGGCTATTTAAAGTATTATGTTTCTTTGGGGTGGGAACAGTAGGCCAAGTTCAAGTCCCAACTCGGAATTTGTGTGTGTCTCTTTTGAAGGGGGGAAGGGACTCTGGAATATGAATTATCTTCACTTGTTAATCCTGAACATGCTTCTGACTCATGAGTGGCAGCAGTCATGGGAGCAACTCCAGCCTTTCTCAACAGATGTCACTGTTACTGTGTATGTTGAAGTATTTACAAAGGAAAAAAGAAACAAATGACTAATATAGAGTTCATGTTTATCAGTTTTGCCAGATATATTTAACATTTTCTTGACTAATACCTTCTTTATATTTAAGGGAGTTAATATTTTTTAGACTTGAAGTGATTGATAAATTTGGGATGATCTAGCAGCTTCGGATGAAGAATATTTTTGTTTTCATTTTGTCCAGATTTAATCTGAATCATCCTGCTTTCATTGCCATTTTAATTTTCTGGCAACTGAAAGTTAACTTTAGTCTGATTATTAATGAAACTTGACTTCATTCAGGTATTCGGGGCATTTTTAGAAGATGCTTTGCTTCATGAAATCAGATTTTTCTCTCACTGTCCCATCCTTTTAAAAAGATGCTGTTATTAAAATTAAATTTACTTGTTATTATCCCATATTTCCTCATTGAAAAAAGTTTTTACTAATTGTAATCAAATATGATAGCTCTTAATTTTTCATAATTAGGAAATTGAATTATATAAATAGAAAAGGAATTTTAAAGTGAGTGACTTTATTCTCAGTGTTGGCTTCTCAAAGCCAATTATTTTTATTTACTTATTTGTCTGAATTATTCCTGGCTTGAATTAAATTTTTCTTGAAAAAATGTTTTGCAGGTTAATGAATCAAAAACTATTTTAAAGCTTTGCGATTTTGGGTCAGCTTCACATGTTGCGGATAACGACATAACGCCTTATCTTGTCAGTAGATTTTATCGTGCTCCTGAAATCAGTAAGTTTCTTAAAATGTTTGACCTAGGCCGTCATATATGGTGGAAGCAGCATGTTTAATGTCTAAGCACTGTTTTCCATCACACTTTAGCAGCTGCACAAGGTCATTCATGAGAAAGGGAACCATAGTGAATTCATCCTCCTCAGGTGGAATGAAGGTAGTTGTGACAGGAGTATTGATCATGTCGGGCAGGAGTAGCAAAACAGTTGTGGAAAATCCTCGACTTTAGAAGACTGCTCTTGATTATTCAAGGTCTGATTATCACATTTATGGATTATGTGGGACCTCTGTTTTTTCTCTTTCTGTTGCCTTGGTTGAGGCTGATTAGCACCTCCACCAAAAGGTGAAATGAAAAAAAGAGAAGACAGATACATTTTCTTTTACCTCTTCAGTTCCTCCCCTTGCCCCCATTTTTTAAGGTTTTTAAGTTTGAGTCTCTTAAGAATTAGTGGGAAAGAACATGAAACTAATCGCCAAACTAAGGTGTTAAGATTGTGATTACACTCCATGCTAAGTTAGGCCCCCATTAATGGAAATAAAAATTAATAGTAGTCAATCATTTTTATCCTCGTATATTACAACTTTCATTCTGCTTTCAGTTATAGGTAAAAGCTATGACTATGGTATAGATATGTGGTCTGTAGGTTGTACCTTATATGAACTCTATACTGGAAAAATTTTATTTGCTGGCAAAACCAATAACCATATGTTGAAGCTCGCTATGGATCTCAAAGGAAAGATGCCAAATAAGGTAGGACCTTAACATGAGCTTATTTTTACAAGGTCTTAGTTTCTTATAAACTGACAGACTGCTGATGCTTGCTCACCATCAGTGAGCTATAAAACAAAAATTTCAGAGAGACGTGTAGATGGCTACCATGATTTCTTAGCTTCTTTCCCATTTCTGGTGTTTCTAATTAGCGGAGAGAATCAAGAGAACTTTTTCAGTGATGGGCAGCAGTATTCTTGGGCACACACACTTGTTGGTAAAAGTTGCAAATTTAGAAATGGAATGAAAAAAGATGCAGATCAGGTGAGTTAAAATGTAAAGAGGTACTTAGTGGTTAGAATGAATAGATCAGTATTGGATATTGTAAGAGGAACTCAGTTTATTAAAGATTGGAGGTTATTTGGGAAAGAAAGCTACCAAGAAAATTCATTTGATGTGACATCTTTCTAACTGCGTCAGCTCTAATGCCAGTTTATCTCTAACATGAAACAAGAATTTTAGGCATTTATTAAAATGTCTGAGGGCCATATCTTAGCTTTTAAAGATTTCAGCTTATTTGCTGAATTTCTGATTTTTCTCGTTGTACGTCAGAAGCCATTAATGGCTTTTAAAAATATCTAAAAGCCCAATTCTATTATGTTGAACTTGTTTAGAATAAATTACACAGAAATTAGCTATGTTGGTATTTGTTTTAATGAAGTCTGACCTGTATTGTATCAGTGCTGTTGGAACATAATTGTAAAATGTCACTAGGTTTCCTAACTACCAAGAGAGAAGACCTCAATACTTTTACTAAGAACAAATTATTTTAAGTGTTAATTCCCAATTTTAAATAGCGAAAGCACAATTTGATATTATAATTGGCTTTAAGTCACTGCTTGGGAAAATATTATTTCATGCTATCAAGTAGTTGTAGGTATAGCATTTATATTAAATTTTCCAAGGATGCTAAAAAAATTCCTGATGGCAAAGGAATCTGAGGTCAAACAAACCCAGAGCAACTAAATATGTTTTTGTGACTACTATGTATTAAATTGTTAGTAGGCCATGCGGTATCATAATAGTTCAAAACCCAAGCTTTTCTGTTTTGTTTTGTAGATGATTCGGAAAGGCGTATTTAAAGACCAGCATTTTGATCAAAATCTCAACTTCATGTACATAGAAGTTGATAAAGTAACAGAGAGGGTAAGTTTGTTTAAATGTACTACATTAAACTGCTGCCTTATTGTTAATGAATTGAGTACCAAGTGGCATTAGGAGCTGTGAATGTTTTTTAAAAAACATCGAATTTCCTTTTTGCTATTGGCCAATTCCTGAATTAAAAAAAATATCAGGCTATGAAAAAGATGAAGGGATTTAAAAATGTTTTTCTAGTGTGATAAATTTGTTTTTATTATAGGTCATATTATTATAGGCTCATCACTTCTCCCTTGGATTACTTTCTTGGTCTGGCTTCCTATCTAGATTTCATACAGCTGCTGGAGTGATTTTTTTCTTTTGAAAACATATCTGATGATGTTATTCTCCCTGCTTTTAAAACCCTTCGTTGGCTCCCTATTACCTATACAATAATGTTTAAGTTCCTTAGAATGACAAACCAGGTCCATGATATGAACTGAAATACAGTTGAAATACACGTTCTGTATGAGCCTTTCTAAAACCTCCAGGTTGAAGTAATGATTTTCTCGTTTTTGCCCCATTATACTATGTGTCCCTGACTTTGTCAGAGAACTTAACACTTCATGGTGTCAACTTGTTTACATGTTGTCTCTTACCACTTCAGGGTAGAGTTAGGGAAGGTACAGTTCACACAGCAAGGACTTACTGTTAGTTTTCATTGCTAACTTGGGGTTGACCTTTTCCATTTAAGCTTTTTGATAGCTTCTTGAAAGGATGTAGAAGATAGAAGAAGCCACATAAAAGTTTTAAATCAGTAGATGATGATAGTCACACGTCGCTTAATGACTGGGAGAGATGCGTTGTTAGGGGATTTCATCATTGTGTGAACATCGTAGAGTATACTTAAACAAACCTAGATGGTAGACAGCCTGCTGTCCACCTGGGCTGTATTGTATGGCCTATTGCTCCTAGGCTACAAACCTGTACAGCATGTTACTATACTGAATACTGCGGGCAGTTGTAACAAATGGTAAGTATTTGGGTCTCTAAACATAGGGAAAGTACAGTATTCTACTCTTACAGGACCACTGTCTTACATGCAACCTGTCCTTACTTGAAACATTGTTACACAGTGGGCGAGTGACTGTATATATATTTTTATGTATATATTCTTAATATTTTTGATAGACCCAGAAACAGTCTGATTTAAGTTATATATGTTTAGTAACTTATTTAGAGATATGCATTTTAAAAATTATTTTTAGGAGAAAGTTACTGTTATGAGCACCATTAATCCAACTAAGGACCTGTTGGCTGACTTGATTGGGTGCCAGCGACTTCCTGAAGACCAACGTAAAAAAGTACACCAGCTAAAGGACTTGTTGGACCAGATCCTAATGTTGGACCCAGCTAAACGAATTAGCATCAACCAGGCCCTACAACATGCCTTCATTCAGGAAAAAATTTAAACGAGATGAAGAAACTCCAAGGGTTTAAGTAATTAAATACAAAGACTGAAGAAATTTCACAGCAGTTTATTAATGTATATAAACTTATAAATATTTCTCCAACAAATTTGAGGAAGCATGATATATTTGAATTAACACCAAGGGTGATATTTCTTTTAGAAATGTTAGTTAATCTGTTTTGTGTCTTATGTGAAATTTCACTGTAGAACTGTTTTAATTGCCAAGACTGCACAAAATTACAGTGCTAATGTATATGGTTGCAGTTCACATAAAAGACAGAAGCATCTGTTATAAAATGAGTAGTAATACTGGGTGGTTGACTTGTTTTTAGCAGACTTGGCTTCATTTTGGTCTTCAGATAAAATGGCCAGCATAAATGCTGTTTATATTCACGTTTTCCTAGGTGTGTGTGTGCAGGCCACAGCAGCATGCCCTTGGTGTAGTCAGTGCCGAAAGGGGTCTGTTCCTTCTTGAGCCTGCCTGCAGGGATGGTCTCCTCTTTTAAAGCAGGTTGTGTACAACATTCAGTACACTGAAGGTAAGCTAAACCATCAACATCACTGGTGTTTTAAGATGTTATTTTATTGGAACAATTGACAAATGAGGGATATTAGCTTTGTGGCAGAATTCCCTGCATGTGTGATAACTGATCTTGTTTTATTTTTTGGCATCGCAACTGTGGCATAGTTACAATTTCTGTTCTGTTCATCACATTTAAAATTGGAGGAGTACGCGCTTGATGGATAGAGCGCCTTCAGTGTACTGTTTCTTATTAACTTTACTTTTTTAAAATCAACTTGCTATAGACTTTATATACATTTTGTTAAATACAGTTCCTAGTGACATAGACAATGCGTAGTTTTCATTTACTAATTACAAATCTTGAGGCCCAATTCTAAAAGTCCTCATATTTAAAGGTTAGATAGACAACGTAATGAAATTTTTAACTATTTGTATGTCATTTTGAAAGTGTACTGCTTTATGGTAAAAGTGTTTTTCATTTGTTCATTGTTTTCATTATTTGTGATCATGTTGTCTTTCAATACAGGCATAAACCTTCCACTCTTGAACAAAGCAGCTGCTTTTTAAAAGCGGTAATTGCTTCTTTACCTTTTATTTCTTTTGTAAATGAAGCTTTTCTTTAAGAATGTGACTTTAAAGTGTTGTCTATTGCATAAAACAGTTGACACTCACTTATTGTAAAGTGAAGATTGTTCTACTGCATGTGAAGTGGACCATGCAGATTTCTGTATGTTCTCAGTATGCATCACTAGATAATAAAGTCTTTTGTGAACAAGGCATTTGTAGCCATTTTTAAAAGCTTTTGTCTTCAGTGCTGGTAAGTCAGGTAAACCATAAATAATAGTTAAAAGCTACTTTTTGTTTTTTTCCTGAAAGTCTTTAATTGAAAGTATTGTTTGTTAAAGATGTAAACCTAGCCAAAAGTTTATCATTTTATTAATAATTAGAATCCTAATTATTTCATCAAAAAATCCTACAAATATTGTCAGTTTTCAGTGTAGTGAGGTTATTCCTGTAGGTTATGGGGTATAATTCAGGATTTAACTAATGTTTCTGCTATTTTCTCACTTTTCCTTTTGATGGTGCGGAAAGAGAAAAAGGAAAACGGGGCACAGGCCATTCCACGCCTTCTCCAAGGGGTCTGATTTGCTGAGACACCAGCTTCACTTCTTAACAAGGTTATTTCTGACAGCATGTGTAGATAAACATTTAGCAACAGTTTAAAACAAAATCATGTAAATCAGCTTGGTTTTGCAACACAAAGGAATTCGTATTTTTAACATGATAGAAGAAAATTTTCAGAAGTATATGTAATCTTTTCTGTTTGGGGTTAAAATTAATGCTTGTCTCCCTGAGGAATATGGAAAATAATCAAATTTTAGGGGCTTAAATTATCTTTTTAAATTGTAAATGGGATTTTTTTATTCACCCAGGCACCTAATTACAACAAGCATGCACATTTTGGTGCATTCAAGAATGGAAAATCAGAATAGCAGCATTCTTCTGGTGGGTTTTGCTCCATTTAAAGACATGAAATGAACTACAGCCAGGAAGGTGATAGATGATTTAATAAGCCAACTCTGAGCCTACACCCCGTCTCTTCATGGTTTAGACTTACTAAAATAAATACAAGGTGATTTTCATCTTCAGGTAGAGTGAAGCCTTGTACAGAAGGCATCACAGGTGCAGCTTTTCCACCTTAATGAAATGGGTAGTGATTTTCCCACCATGATTTATTTTGGTGACAATATGCTGCATATTCAAGCCTTTTGTAGTTATTTTCACTTGAAATAGTTAACATTTTGATGCTTCTGGTGATATTTATGGCTTTATTTTATGTAATTTAAGTAAGTTAACTTCCACTAGAAACAGTTCATCTTATGCCTTCAAAACTATTACCTATTCTTTAAAAAACAAAGTTGCTTGTTACTTGTTCTTTGTGTTTTAGGTGCAGCTCAGTGGAAGATGATGACAGCCAGAAGACATGAGCTAAGGTTTCTGTCCTATAAAAGATTAAAAAAAAAGAATCTTCCATTTAGTTTTTGTCTAATTTTTTAATTTTCAGCATTATGATTTGGGTTTCATTAGTGTTTGGTATTTAGATAATAGTGCTATTGTGGTGTTCATCTGTAAAGTGCTTGTTTTATCATGCTTCCTGCCTCTCCCCTAATTCCTCCTTCCCTAAAACAAAAATAGTGGTCAAATTTAGTGATATAAAAGGCTCTTAGATGGTGAGATTCCATATAACACATGGTTGTCAAAATTCCATCCTAAGGATTATCAAAAAAACAGCAACTGCCAGAATAGCTTGCATCTAACATAGTCTTAAGCTGTAGGCAGATGCAGAAGAAACTGGAAGTTTAGGAACACTGTTTAACTCCTTTAATATCTATTTCACCAACTTACCCTTTTAGTGACCTTGTTTTTAACAAGTGCTCCGGTCTTAAAGTAGACAAAATATTCTGAGCCATTGTCAGTTTTTGTTCTTAAAGGAAATGAGAAAGGTGATACTGCATATTTTTTATATTCCCAAATTTAGCATTTCTAGACTTATGAACCCTATAAATGTTCTTATATAAATGATTTTATTAGAATTTGTAATTTTGCTGAGACAGAAATTTGGAACTCTGCAAGACCTCTGTTAGATTGAGGTCATTTGGTGAATGATCCTTCTTAACAAACTACATTCGTGTTTCAGAGTAACTGTACAGTTTCCAAGTACAATTATCTATCATGAAGGTTTTTCTTCTTGGAAAAAATGATAGCAAGTGATCAGACTTGAGGTTCATAAAAGTCTTAGCTGTAGCTCTCAAAGATGTCATAGTTCTAGGATTAGGGGACCAGTTGAGATCTAGAAAGCATATACATTTTAGATACCCTGGTACTTCTTGAAGGTCATCAGAAACGAGATTAGAATTTCAAGGTTTTGAGCAAGGGGAGCATCTTGTCATAAATGAAACCCTGTTGGTATTTATATTCTTCCTTTAAATCCTTATTAAGAAGATCCTGTTTCTTCATTCTCCAATGGCTATCTCATTTCCCTCTTTCTCTCAAAATAATTTTGTTTTAAAATACAATTTTTATCTTACCATTATAATTATCACTTTTTTCCTAACAAAAATAAGTATTCAGGACATTTTTACAATATTAAATATTTGTATAATGTTTTATGGTATGTGGGTAGAGGTAGCGAAATGTAATATTCTCAGTTTTGTTCCATATTTGCATTCTTCCTGTGTTTTACCTGTATTTTATCATCCTTTGTAAGCAGAACTCTAGCTTTATGTGAGTAGAAATAAAATCTCTGAAATGAAAACAAAGGAATCAACATATACTAAGATTTAGGCCAAGCAGTTTAGGAATGCCCTTTTAAATGTTGGAGATAGGAAAGAAGCCATATATTCAAATGTGTAATTTCCCTCCTTTAGTTATAATGACATCATTACCAATTTGGCTTCATAAATGTGTTTCTTTCTCAATAGTGTCCTAGTTCCAGCTTATATCCAACATGAATTTTATCATTCTCCTTCTGGATAGAATGTCCTCCTTATAGAAATGTTCACAGCAAATTTATTTGTTTTTTACATGTCAGTAATGCACACTAAATTGACTTTAAAATGTTTTCCAGTTATTTTGATAGATGATATATTATGGCATCCTTAATTTTTCTTCTCCTTCTGTATATAGGGTAAGGGAGTGTTCTTCTGAGGAACCTTTCCATTTAGTGATCAAGATATATGGAAGCTGATCTCTGAAAATGCTCAAATGTGTGTCCTAATTGTTCATGGTATAGTTGAATTGTAACTTGCATTTTAGCAGTGCATGTTCCCAGTAGACTTACTGGGAAACTTAATAAAATATGCCTCCTCTTACCATATTGTCTCCTGGTTTTACCTTCGGATGAGTTTGGATTTTCCTCACAAACATCAAAACATCTTCAAAGCATTAAGTACAGAACACCAAAGGGTGTGTTGTATTCATAGTCCTATTATATATGTTTCTGCTTTGGTTTTTCTAGTAATGGAAACATAATAAATGATGACCTATCCCCTTTTTATAATAGTAGAAATTGATTCATTGTCCATGTGGAAGCCTGACAAATCTTGGGCTCTTATCCTCAGTCTGCCCCGCTATTTTCTCTTTTAAGGAAATGTTTTCTGCTTTTAAAAACAGTGAATAAAATAAGAGCAACGGGGACCTTGTGTGAATCTCTAGTGCAATCAAAGCAGGATTGGAGGATGGGGGTTAAGTGTTCGGCTTTGTAGAATATACTCACCGCAGCTGGAGCTAACCACCACTGTGGCAGGTAGTGGCCAGTTTGGTTGAGTCCTGGTTTTGTAAGAAATGGGTCATATGACTCTGGCTCTCAACAGCCTTCTTGGTAAGGCTCTGGTAGTAATGTTCTTGGTTATCTATCTCAGGTGGCCATGAGGTCATTATAATTGGTCCATTTTAGGGAAAATAGTATGCAGAGTGTGTTGGTTGAGGACCTTTCACATTTGCTTTCTCTGATTAGATTCAACCTCACAAAGACCCAACAGGGAGCTGAGAAAGTATTAATTACTGGAGAGCTAAACATGGGAATTACGGGCAAACCAAGTTAAATTTTCCTGAACAGAATTTGTGTTACGAATTGCCAAATGTTTCATTCCTCAAAGATAATGGTAGAAGCTGGCCTGTATTACTTCATTTCTCCAATTTTTCCCTCAGTGGTGACCTTTATTTTTCACCACATTAGTACGTGTTGCCCATTTAAACCAAGTCTCTCCCCGTTCATCTGCAGGGTAAAGTTGAGATGGTACATCTGTAGTCCGTACAGACCTGCCACTTCTGGTCTCATTCCCATCTCCTTTGCCCCACTGCCACTCATGGCCTCACTGAAAGTCAGGGTTTGTGTCTTCATCACTTATACCATGTCCTTGGGCCTGGCACATGCCCGGCAAGAAAGCAGGACATTAATTTGTTAGGAATTGTTATTTCTGCAGTTAAAATTAAATGCTAAGGCAGCTCATTCTTGAACTAGTCTGTCCTTCTGCATCATCCTTATTTCCCTGGAGTTTGTTTTTTTTTTTTTGAGTATTTGCTATGTGCCAGGCACTTTGACTTACTAGGCCACTTAATCCTCGAGTGATTATATGAAAGAAAAGATACTCTACCCACTTTACAAATCAGAAAAGTGAAGCACAGAGGGGTTAAGGAGACTGCCAGAGGTGTTAGAGCTGTTAAGTGGCAGAGCCTGGGTTCAAGTTTAGACAGTCTGGCAGTGGAGCTAGCGTTTGTAACCACTATGTCACGCTTCACAATCCTTGATGAAAAAGTCCCTTCATCAGTCACACTTTAAAGAGTATCTACCACCTGCCAGCATACAGTAGCGAACAAAACAGGCATGCCCCTTTCTGAAGGTTTTACAAATAAAATGACATCATAACCCTAGAGGTGAGGAGGAAAATCCAGATAGGTAAAGAAGGTAGAAATGAGTGGATACAAAGGGCTTGTCAAAAGTAAGGCTCACGACTCGGGGAATTGCAAGAATGGGAGTAAAGGTGGTTGATGGGAAACAAGGTCACTGAGTTGGAATTGAGTGAAAATGTAAGTCCGTTTTTGCATTATAATTTTATAAAAGGGGTAGTATACCACTTTGGATTAATGAGACTATGGGATATAAGTAAAATTCCATTATACTAAGGGAAACTGACCAGTTAAGTATTTTCTATGGCTGTGTTGATATGGTTCTAGAAAATTCTTTGAAATAAGTTAAAAATTAAGCATGTTCTCTGTG